CACAATAATTTGTTATTTATTTATTGATTTATTACAATAATACCTTTGCATGGTATAATGTTGCTTGCAGTCAGTGACGCAAATACGATTATTTTTGGGCCTCTCGCAAAAATTGTAGAGGCGCATAGACATAGGTGCAAAAAATGTGTGGGAAGTAAGGTTCGATCCACAGCACACGGTCCAATCGATGTAACGAGGGAGTATTAAAATATGTGACCCACAGGCCACAGAGGAAATTTAAGTCTGAACGAAATATTTCAAAAATACTCATAATTTTAGCACATCTTGTGAAATCATTTTTAATGTACCTACTTTCCGTTGAGAATTTGTGAACGGTTTCTCTTTTAGCCACAATATCGTACCGAATAACAGCGCTTGAAGATAATATTATATTTAATGCGGTTGGATAATATCTGAAATTCGTAAGGGGCTTTTTTTTTTTATTAAATTTGTTCTTATGGTTACATTCATTCGTAACTATAATATAATATATGATTACAATTATAATTGTAACACGTCTCAATGATATTGCTATGGTAATATACTGTTTATAAAAATTATTTCAAAAGACGAGTTCGTGATGCAACATCTTCCCAAACTAGAGAAATATTTTGATTTTCTACCAATATTTTGACATTATCCGCTTAACCTAGATTAAGTCAAACTATGTAACACAACATGATGAACTACAACCAACTTAAAATCTAATTCCAAACCATTCTCCAATATTCGTAGAATTAACGTTGGGCAGGTTAAACCGACTGCAATAATGAGTTTTAGATTCTGAGGGGAGCGAAAGAATGTATTGGTTTTACAATGATGTGTGTTTTTTTTTCCTGTCAGTCTTCAAGATTTTGGATAGAAAGCATACTTTGATTTTTGAGGTCAGCATCTTTTCTGATAGAAAAGTAAACCTAGTTGGAAAACCAAATTGAAAATTCCAAGTAGTTTTAGAAAGCGTCGAGAAAAACTACCGACAAATTACGAAAAACCTCTAAAAATGGGATTTTAATTTCTAATGCTTTGTTTATCATCATATCAACGAATAAAAATTAATAATATTATAAAGACTACACTAACCACTCAGAGTCGTTTTTCGTTTACAATGGTTTATCATTGTATTCAAACATAACACATCCATTACATCTACTGTACAGCAGAGCGGTACCCACTTGTCCACCTTTTTATAATTTGTCATATTATTTTGTTTTGGACTTAACAGCCGTTGTAGTGCTCTGACAAGACTTGGGTCAAGGGTTTTAGAAATATTTTGAAATTTGAAACAATACTTCGTTGCTCGATCAGCAGTAGGTACCTAGGTATATGAAATATATATAAGAAATATTATACTAGCGCTGTGAAACACGGAAACCGGAACAATAACGACCGAGGGAATAACAACGAGCTTTTGGCGACTGCGCTACATAATCGTTTTAAATTGATGTTCAGTACCAAATCGGCTTATCGTGTGCCGTCATCCTACTTTATTATTGTAAATATATACAATATCATATTAATAATAATAACAATAGTATTCTGTGATTTTACTAACGATGCTGCTATTCGTAACATCTCCGCGTCGTATAAAATGTATTCATTACTAGTAACTTCAAAAATGTCAGGGGTAAAAATTTCCAAAAAAAAGATCGAAAATCAAAAATGTCTATGGTAAAAGTGTCTGAAATCAAGAATTTTCAAGGTGAAATTCTGAAATTAAAAATGTCTGAGGTAAAATACTAAAATATTATCCAACATAAAAAAAATAAGTACTAAGTACCTATCGAAATGGAATAAAAGAGGAATATAAATTAGATTATACATTTTTATAGATTAGTTAACTATAAACAGAGAAAAATTGGAAAACATCCTGGCAAAAAAAAATGGTTGATTTGGAAGAATTAAAAAAATATGTGTATTTTATCTGATTTTTTAGATTCTGAGTGAAACGATGAATGTATTGATTTTACAATGATGTGTGTTTTATTATTTTATTTTTATTTTTTTTTGTGTCTGTCATCACGTTTTAGGACAGTAAAAGTGCTTGGATTTTCTTCAACAGTATCTTTTCTGATAGGAAAGTGAATCTAGTTGGTACTTTAGGGGGTCAAAAGTAAAATTTCCCAGTAGTTTTCACAAGCGCCGGGAAAAACAACATAAAAATTAAGGAAAAACGAGAAATTTTACGCAAAATCGGTTTTCCAAAAAATCGATTTTGGTTTTTGGTGTAACACTGAAACAAATGAACGTATATACATGAAATTTTCACTGATTGTTTATATTTGCATTTTCTATACACGATAACATTTTTAAAATATTTTGATTTATTTTGAACTGTTTAGGCACATTTTCATTTTCCATTTTTCTTTAGTTTTTTTTCTAAAAATATCAATAAAATTTTATTTGTTGGTTGCGAAAAGTTGAAAATTTAATAGAAGGCTCCTAGTATATTGTTTCAAAGGCATATGAAAAATATTAAAAATCCTTAGTCACAATTTTTTTTTATAAGCATTTAAAGTTCAAAAATTGACAAAATATGGAAAAATCACGAAAATTAGCAAATTATTTAGAGTTAAGAATTCATAAAAATTTTTCTTTTTAAATCTAAGATATGCAAATGTAATACAAGATTCCTTATACCTTTATCAAAAAAAAAATGTCTATAAGAAAGTAAAATTAAATTTTTATGAGCGTTTGAAATTCAAATTTTTACAACATTGGATATTCACTCGATTTCTCTTGTAGCGATTTCCTTATTTTGTTGTAATTCAAAAACGAATAACTGTAGATGAAAATTTCACTGAATGTTTAAATTAGCATTTCCTATACACCATACAATTTTGAAAATATTTTGACTCTTTTTGAGCTGTTTAGGGACATTTTAAGTTTTCAATTATTTTAGTTTTTTTTTCTATAAATATCAATAAAGTTTTATCGGTTGGGACAAAAAGTGTAAAAATTTAATACGAGGCTCCTGATATATTGTTACAATATCATTTGAAAAATATTAAAAATACATAGTCACAATTTTTTTTTTTTATAAGCATTTAAAGATTGAATTTTAACAAAATTTATCAAATTTAAAATTGAATAATTATTTTGTAGTTAAAATTTATAAAATGTTCAACTTTTATATCTAAGGATTGAAAATTTAAAATAAGATTCCACGTAAGTAGTTACGTATTCTGTAACTAAAAAATCTAAAAAATACAGTTTATTTTTATAGTCATTTTAAGTTCAAATTTGGATGAAATTACATAAAAAAAACCTAGAATAACTATTTTAGTTATTTTGTTGTGATTGTGTAATTTTATTCGTGGGTACTTGATACTTCTAAAGTACACTATATATATCTATGGAGTATGGCCTCTGATAGTATCAGGGTTGGTTATTGACGTATAACGCATTATAAGTACCTAATGGATATTGTGATATGATTAATTTGGAATTTATTATAGGTACCTATTTTAGGTAATTTTTTTAATACGATAGATAAGTATATAGGTAATATGTTTTATACTTAGACTTACATATCGTCTCCGCTCAGAATCGTTTTTCTTATACAATGATATTATATCATTGAATTAAAATTTAATAGGGGTAAAGGTAAAGGCAATTTTGAATAATATTAATCTGACTTTTTAATAAACAAATATTCATTATTATTTTTTTTAAATATAAATCAATTATGTAAAAATACTTTTAATTAGGTACCTACTACCTATGTATATTATGTGTATAATAATCTATTTAATCTCTATATTATTCATATTTTTGATTCTAAATAACTTTTTCAAGGACAGTTTATTCTGTACAATTTCGCCCTACATTTTTTTTTAAGGATATTTTTACCTAGATTTGTATTACACTTCGCCGGCGACATTACGAGCGAGTGAGCGACGTAGGTACCGGACATTACCATTATTGCACACAATCGTGGCCTACGAATTCCAAAGGTCATTGACTAGTTAAAAAGTTAATTTTTTTCAAATTGACTAATTAATTAGTTTTATAATTAACTTAATACTATAGTTTAACTAGTTAAAGCATCTATTTTAAAAATTTGTTTTTTCCAGTTAATTGAAAAATAATACTTTAGATAAAATCATATTTATATATCCCTTTAACATAGTATATTATACCTAGTTAAAACTAATTAATTAATTAATTTTTACTTGTTATAGGTAATCTACGTACATATATTATCTACAAATATTCCATAAATAACAATAGCAGTCACCTGAAAAACCTAATACATTCGGCTGAATTCAATAAAATATTATTATTTCAGACCCGAAATGAAATAATAGTATTAAAAATACGATATTATATTTTATACACGTTAAAGTCCAACAACTTTTCTATAGCCTAGATACAGTTTTAAACCTGTCAAGAGTCTGTTAAAACAGGACTGTCAACAAGCGAGTAGGAGATAGCTCTTGAGTTAGTGTCGAGTAGCGCTAAAAATTATTTTATAACACATCAAAAGAGTTGTGCGACGTAGGTAGGTACTTGGGTGAAATGTTTATTCGGTGCTTACAGCCGACACCATAAATCTAAAAAAAAATTAATTTTTCACGAAATATTATATTATATTAACACTTTCAACGCCGCGCGTGATTTCGGCAATTATACCGCGACGCCGCGTTGTTTATCCCGTGACGCGTTTACGCGTCAATGGCATTAGAAGCATAACTCTATTAATTCGTAAAATTGAAAAACATTTTAGTATTACTTTTTAACAGCTTTATTGTTACCTTTTATGTATAAAATACTTAGACAGTACATACACATGTTATATGACATATAATATATGAATATAAAATTTCCTAATACAAAATTATAACCATAAAATAAATCGAAAAATGTGTAATAAAATAAAATAAAAATCTCTACATCATAATTATATCATAAAACTAATGATTTACAAACTTTGTAAAATGTTTTAAAAAATGAATAAATATATAAATCATTAAAAATGTATAAAATTAAATAAAAACATATTATTTTGCATGATAATTTTCAAAACAGGATCCTAAACATAGAGGTGGATTATGTGGACAGAGAGAACAGTAGTATGATGTATCTTTGCGTTTACCAATTTCTTTACAGTAACTACATCGTTTGCGTTGAACTTTTGTCGTTTTTTCGCTTTTTGGTAAGAGTTGTAGAGTATGTACAAATGGAACTGTAGTCGGTAATTTAGTCATAATTTCATATTGTTTTTCTCCAAGTTCACCAGTTTTATCATTTTTTTTTAACAAAGAACGTATTATATTCAGCCGAAAATTATAAAAAGGTATTTTACGTTCATTTTGACAATATAAAAGATAAGAATTGAGAAGTAGCTGTTGTAAAATGTGAATACCAACTTTTTTGTACCATCGAAGAGTTTTTCGTTCACACGGGTAGTAGGACAACAGTAAGTTGGTCTTGACGATCTACACCTGACATATAATCATTATATTTTATTATTGGCAATGGTTTTTTTTTCTTATCTCCCCGTTTATTTTGTGTATCTACCATATCTGCTGTCCATTCTGTTGATATGCCCAATACATCCCTTTTGTCCTTCCACTTGAATACACAGATCCCGTTATATGAGTACTTCGATATATTTTCTCCTTTTTTTAATTTTTTTTTAACAATGTCGCTTGGATTTTTTTTCCTATTTGAACGCAATGTGCCGGTACAATAAGTATTTTTTGAAATTAGTGTCTGAGCTAAATTAACGCTATTGTAGTAATTGTCCATGTAAAGCGAATGACCTTTGAACAATTTTCCTTCCATAAGGTTTATAACTACGTTTTCCGTATGACTATTAGAATGCGGTTGTTCAAGCTGTGACAGTTTTTGTCCAGTATAAATCATAATTTTTAAATTCAGGCCATTTGGCTCAGCTAACATATATAATTTGATCCCAAATTTATGTCTTTTTCCCTGTATATTATACTGTCGAAAAATCAATCTACCACGCCATAATATCATTGACTCGTCTATAGATAAATTTTTACCGGGATAATACACCTCATCCATTTTATTATTAAAATATTCCACAATTGATTTAATTTTAAAAAGTCTATCATTGGGGTCGACAGCGTCATGGCTAAAATGTAAAACTCGAAGAATTAATAAAAAACGATTTCTACTCATATGTTTTTTGAAACATGGAATATTAAATAGATCATCTTGTTTCCAATAGTACTCTAGTTTATTTAAACGTATTGTTCCAGTATGATAAAGTAGGTAGCCCCAAAAATACTTTCAGTTCAGCGGTAGTTAAATCTTTCCAATGAGTTATCCTGGATTTGTCTGACGAAAGACAAAGAACTTCAACAGCATACAAATTAGTTTCTTCTACTATAAAATTATAAAAATCATCAGATACTAGCAAATCAAAATAATCGATAGGCTCATGCCCTTTCGGCTGTACTTTCAACCCTGCATTTCCTATAAACGGAATTAATGGGACTTGTACTGGATTAGAACTCCAATGCTCAGCCGATATGCTATGTCTTATTTCGGGTATGTCTGCCTCCGTCAATAAATTCTCTTCAGAATCGCTTTCCTCTGTATCTACTTCAAAATCACTATCTCCATCATCTACATCTGACTCTTGTAATAATGCCAATAATTGTTCGTCAGTCAACGTCTTACGCCTCGTTACTACTGGAGACCTCTCTCGTGATGGTCCTGGTTGACTATCCATATTTATACTAGGATCCAAAAAATGTCTACATAATAATACAATAATAAATTGTCGGTAAAAAATTATATGATTTATCATAAAATCAAGTATTCTATAAGGTATGCAATAGGCATAAGTTTTTTTCATTATATATTTATACGAAACAAAAAATATAATATACAATGGTATTCAAATAAAAATAATACGTAATTATACGTAGTAAAAGTAAATAATAGCTAGTACATAAAAATTATATAACATAAAATTGTAATAAAATAACTTACCGTCAAAATAATTATGAATTGCTCTAGTTGTTTGATAAAATAAAATATGCAGGCGTCCGCCGTTACAGTTGCGTAAATGACGCGAAATGAAACAAATTAAATAGTGGCAAAGTAGCCATATTGCATGATACAGTATGTTACAAATGATATAATAGTTGTTATAATTTGTAAATGATTAATATCAGTAAAGGAATTCATAATATATCTAATATACACCCTGTATACGTGCATATACATCGTTTTGGGAAGGCCGTCAAAAACAACGATTATCAGTATCTAAAAGTAACGAAAACTCAAACGAATTATAGTTTTAAATATAGAGTTTATTGTCTATAGCCTGTGTACATTTCAGAGTTTATTAAAATAAAACCGATTAAATTATGGAGGATACAAACATACATGTTACTGACGCGTAAACGCGTCACTGGCCCAATGGAATAAACTCTGTTGACGCGTATACGCGTCAGCGGCGTTGAATGTGTTAAAATAGTAAAAGTATATTAGATCTCCAGTTTTGAACCATAATAATTTAGAACTCTATTTCAACCTTTTTGGAATTTATATGTACAGCAATTGTATAGATTGTATTTGAGTATATTGTCAAAGTTAGTTAAATACTAAAAAAATAACATAGTCAGAAATTTGGTTCAATAGCAAAAATAGTAATATTAATTTTTAAACAAAAATTCTAACTGAAAAAAACTAGTGATTTCTAAAATCTATAAAATCTACTGATTTTTGTAATAATTTTTGGAAAATTGTAAAACATTTTCATGATTAATAAGAAAGTTTGATTTGGATGACCATACTTTAAGTCCAGCCGGAAAATATTTTCATTAATAGCATTGCGTATTCCAGAGGTAATACACAATAATTAATAATATTATTATAATCATAATACATGGTCATTTACATTCACACCTATATTGTCTATACGTAGTTAGTTTGATTACTGATTAGTTTAAATTTATTTGGATACCCATACTACGTGTTTCTGAGAAACAATCTAAACAGGTTTGTGAAATTAAAATTTGAACGCACGTGAATGAAAGTAAAATAGAAAGTATGTATTATAATATTATACGCATCGTGTTTTAGTTTGCAGAGTCGTTGCTATTCATAATTTTGTAATAATATTACAATATTAATATTACTAATTAGATATTTTTCCAGCAAGTATTGAAAACTACGATATTGTTACTGACATTTCTAGCCAAATATTATCGGAATGACGAAAAATCTGATAACAAAGAACACGAAGCGAGTACCTATAGGTACATTTTAATATTAAGTACCTGTTGCTATAATGGGTAGCACTGAAGTAGTAAAATTAAAAAAAGAGTGAGCACGCACATAATAATAATAAATTATAACTAAAATACAATCATTTATCTTTCTAATATTATGTCATTGCTCATCATGAGATATTGTGGGAAAGACCTATTGATCTATCTCAACAGTTCTGATCATATTATTTACGCCTATATAATAATAGATACTTATTATATCCCCCCCCCCAATGCAAGAGGGTATGACGTGATAATAACTCATCAGCTGTCATCATCGTACATCCGTCGTGTCTTTCTTAAACAGGCAGAAGTAATTACTTGAATTTACTCCTTCTTATGATTATAAGTCGTAGTAACAATAATTACATTAATTTGTATTTTATTATTATAATTAAGTATAGTTAGGCTGTTGAAAATAGAAGATGTTTGTGCAGTGTTGTGAAGAAAACCATTTCTATCAACCCTCAAAGATTACTGAAATTCCAATTTCCAATTGCTAAATTGCACTTGTTTTCGTTAAGAAGCACACGAGATCATTATTAGAACAATTGTTTATTATTAAAATAATATTATACAATACGTTTCGCTAGATTTAATTTGCATACCAGCATAGTTTTTTAAGTTTTATTGTTGTTGGTGTGTCACTTTATATATATTTTTTTATTAAGTTGTTATACGACTTTGGAGATGATTAAAAGGCCACGGAGATAATAATATTAGATTTTAATGAATAATGATTGTAATCGTGGTATTACCATCGATCACCCAGTATCACTCAATAGTATTACACAATAATAGGTAGGTACGCGTACCTAAATAGTTGATTATTTGCATATCTTTGAAGTATATTTTAATATACCTATTGTATGCTAGTGAGTGGCTTAACTAGGGATATATTTTGCAGGTGGGTAGAGTGATGTTGGATTACATTTTTTTTTTTTTTGAAATTAAGCAGGTTAGGTATCTAAAGAAAAAAACAAAACATATAGCTATCGATATTTTCCCTCTACAAAAAAAAATCTATGAGCCATTAATACTGTGTTTATTATTAATGAGAAACTATACGAACCTTACAAAACTTCGGTCAGAAACAAAAAAACGTGTATCCAGCCCAAAAACATATTTATGATAAAAAAAATGTTTTTCTCTTAATAAACTCTGCCGAATTTTTAAAGAATTTATAATAAATTTAATTGCGTGTATACTTATTTAGATATTACAACAATAGTTAGATAATTCTATAGGTGCCCAATGATTAATGAATAATATCCTAACATAGTAACATAACATTACTATATTATGTGTAGTGTGTACCTCCTAATTGCAGTCATTTATCTTTACGTCTTTCAGTGTCTATCTCGCGGTATTGACACCTAGCCAATGATGTGTCTCGGATTGTCTGGAACTTGACTATGACTGACGGCGACGTAAAACGACATACCTGACCCTCCGAGATTGAAGATTTTACCGGCTCTCCTTAGCATACAATCGGCTGAAAAAAAATATGCAGATTTAGATTTTCAACGCCCCTTATCGCAGTCATATTTTTACTATAATTTTTCCAAGTGACATTTTTTCATTCCGTCGGCACCTAGTTTTTGCTACCTACCCAATGGCGCAGCTGCAGCTTACAATAAATTATTCTCAAGGCCTCCACTGCAACAGTATCTTATAAAAACTTATAGTATTAAATATTGTTATTTTTTGCACCTATTGTTTAATTTATCTATATGTATGAACAGGTAGGTACTATCACATTACTAAATGATTTGATAAATCAAAGCAAATATTATTAACATATTTTGTACCCATAAATTACTACCCATGCACGTGGATTGATAAAAAATGTGCAATTTTATTCACACTGTTTCATAAGCTGAAAATATATTAATAACTGTCGTATACTCGTCTTAAAGGTATGCATCCTACCACAACAGTGCAACACTGCTAATTATATTTGTGCTGTACACATTTTTATCCATTGTAAATTATTTTTCAACAATCCAAAAATCTATTTCAATTGTTTGTATTATGAAACAAATGATCAACTCGGCTAATGGCCATAGTTGTCGGGCTCAGGTTCAATAAAAAAAAAATGATCAGCTTAATAAAATATACTTAATACAGTATAGGACAATTTCATAATTCATTAGGCTTAAAACACTGACTACATGTCATTATATATGTCGATTTTATATTTATTTTACGATCTTGATAGGTGAACAAAACCAACGTGCGCACCAACTCAAATTGCAGGTGGTACACGTTTCCACCAAAAGTGTATTACATTTTCCACCAATACTCGTTTTCCATCAAATGAGTTTTTATCCTATTCCTTTGACCGATTTTTATAGCTTTTGGTAATAGGTATATGTATTAAAATTTCACAATAATGTTTATTTTAGATTTAGAGAACATTTTCCCAGGAAATAAAAATCTTTTTAAACGCTGTGTTATACGTATACCTACTATGATATACTGCTGGTACTAAAGTAGTGAGTACTGAGTAGGATAATGCAGTATAATATAAGTAATAATAAATAACTCAATAAAATTAATATATTATTATTAAAGTTTACAACGTCAACATTTTTTTTGGATATAATTTTCTCAGAATTTAAAATAAACATTATTTGTGGTAATATTGAATAAAAAATTATAATACCTACATGAAGTAATAATGGTACCTATGTATAAATAGTTTTTGTGAAAATGGCCAATATCTCATTTTGGGGAAAGGGACAAGGTACACAGTTTTGATGGAAACGGATGTTGATTAAATAATGAAAAATATTTTTGGACCGACATAAAAACAAAATAAACTTAAGAAAATATAAATTACAATACAACTTGACACTGATGAATATATAATCAGCAATAAAAAATAGTAATAGTTATTATTAAATAAGGTAGGTAGGTATAGCATAAATAACAGATTTCGGTCGGTAGCATTTTGTAGGTACCCCTATGGCCTTTGTATAGGTACTGCATTAAAAATAACAAGCGTTGAAAGACTGCATCGGTGACTCGTGGGGACTATGAAAATGCTGATTAGAGGTATTCTCTGCAGTGTAGTTAAATGCTACAAAAATGAAAACCGAAATTCCGTATGCAAATTCTGATTACAAGCTGTTGTCTTCAACACCTAGTCGTTCAATACAAAACATTTTAAAATAGATTCAAACCTATTCTAATATTATACCAGTTGAATGTTTACAAAAAACCATAACCTAGGTTGACCATAATCGTTAATAATTACTGTGCCAGACGAACTACTTATCATATGTATTGAACACGGTGACCGGACCTGTGACGTAACGTGGCTGTTTTTAATTATTGTCCTCTTTATATATATTATTGTTATTTCAAGTCACTGTTGAATATTATAATATTTATATTTTGTACCTTATTCTTGGTCTGATGATAATAATATGTCCCTTATTGTTTT